AGTAGAAGTTTAAAAACAATATAATATTCCTTCTCAAAGATGCATGATAAAATTTTAAAGTTTATTTTAAATTTTACATAGAAAGAAGGCCTTTTTTAAAGAATATCCCCTTTCTAAATTATTGTTAATAAGGCAAGGCTCTAAATTCCAAACCTAGTAACTGTTATCTTTGTGTTTTAACCATTGAGATATCAACTGCTGATCGAAATGTTTGTCACACATTCCTATTGTTATGAAAGAGCAGAATAAACAGAAATACTGGAGAAATCATCACAAAAGCTAACAAGAAAAATAAAGAGAATTCAAAAGAGAAAAGGGAAGAATCAAATAAGCAATAGTGCATATAAATGAAGGTCAACAAGACAAAATGTCATAGACAAGGGGCAGGGTCAAATTGGTAGTGGTGGTGGAATAGGTTGGAGAAGTTCTGTCATTTAGGGAGAAAGCTGAAACAGGGACTGTCAAGGTTATTCTTAATTTTTTTTTAACCAATAAATGGAAAAATTTTCTTCATAAAAATTTCTTAGCAATATTATGGTTCTGCCATATAGTGGAAGCACCTTTAAAGTAAAAAATAAAAAATCTCCTTTTAAATGCTATTTATGAATTGAGATCAATACAAAAAGTAAAAAAAAAAAAAAAAAAAATATGTAAATATTTCTGACAAGCGGTTATGAGTATGATATATTTAAATTTAATTTTAACAATTTGAATAATTTTGTAAAACTTATGTAAAATCTTAGTAGAAAGTTAAGAAAAAGATGTTTGCTTAATCCAAATAAAAGCCATACTTATTTTTATTTTTTATTGCAAAAAGATTATTTATTCCTTATATAATTATAAGTTGCAGTGAGTGGATTACATAAGGTTTGCAAAAAGATTCTAAACAAGCATAGTATGATATGTTAATTTAATACAATGTACCTACCTGTATTTATTTTTGGTTGAATATGCAGTTATTACTGCTTGTTAACAGTTCTAAACAGAATTCCAGAAATTAAAACTACATTTTTTTTAGTAAGATAAAAATAATAAAAACCGTTTTCTCAATTAAATATCTTTTTAAAAAGTTACGTATTTAAAATAAAATAAAAATACATTGTTCTTCATTTGATCAAGAACTATTGGTTTGACTTTGATGTGAAGCTTTTAAAACTGTTTTTAATACCAGTGGATGAATTCTCAAATGGTGATTTGTTATGTTTGTTCTAAAAATGCTCGAGTTAATCAGAAATGACAAAAATTCTTAATGATGTGAATTGATCATCATTGAAATAAAGATCGTTAATTTTTCTTTTGGGAAAAATTAGAAGAAATCATTACAAATGTTATTAAAAGTCTGAAAGCACAACCATTTCATTTAGGAAAACTAATATAGGAAAATTAATTTAGTTTGAAACAAAATATGAAAGCATTGTTTACTGAAAAACTTTCAAAGGGTAAAATTCAAGTTTACTCTTTCTTTACATATTGAAAAGTAAAACCATCTTTAAATCTAAATTATTGAATTTTACGTACCTTAGTATTCCAGATGACACCTGATTCATGGTTAATTTTTATTGAAATTAAATACTTTCAACCAGGCGTGTAGCGTTTGGAATACAAAGTCATGTTTAATTCACTATGGATATTTTATAGGGTTATTTGTTGCGTGAGTAAACTAGTATTTTTTTCTTTTTCAATATTTTTTCAGGTTAGATTTTGATCTCCAGAGACATTTTTTTCATTTTTCTTTGTGTAAAAATAAAGTACAATAATAGAAAAAATAAAAATAAATAGAGAAAGAGACATCAGCATGAAGAAGAGGAGATTAAATTTCTATAGAAGCATAACTATAATGCGTTCTAGGAGTGATATAAGGTGCTACGCACCTCTTAAAAACCCGTTTGATAGCTGCTCTGTTGAGGTAGGCCACGATCAAGGCAGTACAGCTGATGAGAGCAAATACTAACCACATGACGATATAAGAAGTTTCCAAATGTCGAATACTTGGTATTGGTTCACACTTCAAATCTGTGACAGACAGACTGAGCACCTGCAGACCACGATATTTGTCCTTGTAGCTGTCAGCACAGATCACATTTTCCACGTCTTTTACTCGATGTTTATTTGCCTTCAACCACTCATAAAACTCTATTAAGTAACAATTGCACATGTAATTATTGTGGCCCAGCCACAAGTCAGTTACGTTGGGCATAGACTGGTTAAGTAGTGTCAAAAAAGAGCCAAGAAACATAATATTATTGTAAGAAAGGTCCAGTTGGTTGAGATTGTAAGAACAAGGTTCCATTCGCACCTCAGCTAAAAAATTATTAGAGAGATTCAGCTTTTTTAATGACTGAAGATTGCACAGCATATCTGTACTTTCATTAGTCAGCGTGATGATTTCGTTGTTCGCCAGATTCAAATCCTCCAGGGTAGTGCTGGTTTTATTCAAAACGAAAGGGAGTCGGATTAATAAATGAGACGTTTTATTGGGGCCACTCCATTTCGCCAGGGCACTGTCAAGATTCAAAACTCTCAGACTGGACAGACCCTCAAATACACCCGTGTGGTTAGCATCCAACATTTTCCAGTTATTGTCACGGAGAATCAATGTTTCCAATTGGGGGAGGCAGTGGAAGGTTTTCCCGTGAATTTTTTGGATGCCATTGCTAGACAGATCCAGGTATTTAAGTGTTGAATACTTGCGACCTGTCGTGTTGCGAGCACAAGCCCCGAAAAGATTGGCGGGTAGGTCAGTCAAATTGTTACCCGTGACACTTACACTTTCAACAGTGTGGGGTATCGACAAGAAGAGTGTGGCATTGAAGAAGTCCGTGTCCACACACGCCACACTTGTTGAATTACACTGGCAACCACGAAGCTCAGGTGGACACGAAGAAGGATGGTTATTATTACTATTATTGTTAATATCAGTGTAATTCAGCTTTTTGTTAAAATTCTTAGTGGTTGTAGGTATAATAGGTGTACTGGTGTTAATGTTGTTGGGGTTTGATGTTGTAGTAGTGGTAATTAGCACTTCTTGTGTTAGTGCACTCCTCAAGGGTTTGGAATCAGTCACATTATTAAATTCTTTTATGTCTTTACTCTTAATTGTTTCTACGGTCAACAAGATCATGATGCCAAAGAATGGCTTTAAATTGAAATACATTTTTTTTTAATAATCGAGGAACAAATTTAGAAAATTTTTAAATTTCACTTGTGAAATAATTTAAATGCTTTTCTTTAGGCTTCAGCTTTAAAACACTTTAAAAATGTTCCTTTTTTTTCTGAAAAAAAAATGTATATGCGCGTAATTCTGATTTTTTTTTTCAGTAACACGAAATATAACGTTACTCTTTTTTTTTTAATTCTTCACAAACTCAAATAATAATGTAATTGTGAAAAATGAAAATTAATTAAATCGATTCCTTCTTTCGCTTTTATAATTTTATTTTTTTCCAAATTCAAACTTGTTTTTTAATACAATCGTTATTGTCTTGGTTTTAAAATCATACAAGTTTTTAAAATAAATTTTTAAACAATCTCCGATCGTACACAAAATAGGTAAAATAAAAAGACAAATGAATTTTATTTACATTTCATTTCAATAGCTAAATTTTAAAAGTTTGCAAACTTTTTAAAGATGGTTATTAAAAAAAAAAGTTACCTTCATCGATATTTGCCTTTTTTGTGATTTAATTAAAAAAATTAACATCAATCATTAAAAAATTGTTTTAAATGCGTCACATGTTTCTTTGTTTATTTTACTGAATAATAAGGTATTCACTATATAAAAAAAAAACAACAAAAACACGTAACGTAAATAATCGGTATTCTTTAAAAATTAAAGGCTTTTGACAAAGAATCAGACCTTAGTAATTGGAAATACTTGCTTTTTATTGGAAGCCTAAGGAACTGCCAGGACTTTTAATTTTCCCCCATGTGGTGTGCTAAATTGAGGTATTCAAAATTCAGTGTTGTTTCCTTACAGGTAAAAATCCCCATTTTTTTTTAAGCACTTAAAAGCCCAAAGGAACAACACAGTAACATAGAAATTAAAAAAAAAAAATTACACTCAGTTTCTAACTTCAATAACAGACAAGATGATGAAAATTTTGGGAAAATATCACATTCTTTTCCATCACATTTTTGTTGTTTTTCAATTCGAGTAAAAATCCGAAATGGTAAAAAAAAAAAAAAAAAAATAAAGATTTCTTTTTAGTCGCACCTGTTAATTTTTCGCAATTTGACTTAATTTTTATTTGAGTCCATGGAATTGGAAAATGAGTTTGTTGGGGTTATAATTTAAAATCCAATATACAGCGTTTAAGAAAAGTCACTTGATCTTTTGTGCTGAATAGTGAAAACAACGATGATAAATGCTGATGACTGACAGTACAGGTGAAGTGAGAACTATGTGTATTGGTGTGAGTATATGACAGGAAACAAAAGTAGATGCTCTTTGCTCGAAGAGAAAAATCAAAGTGAGCGACCGGTAGCCCAACAATCGCGATGGCCGCAATCTCATACGTAATCCGCTCCCATTGGATATAAAAATAACTTATTTCTTTAATTCCAACTAAAACTAGAAATCCAATCAAAAATTTAAGTAAAATTTCTAAATTATTTTTACCGCAATTTACAACGAAAATAAATAAAGTTCTTCTATGTCGTTTCTTAAGTAAAGAATGCGCAGAAAAAAAACAAAATGGTTCCCAAATAAAAAAAATATGTACGATATGCACTGGAGTTTTTGCTGTTAGTTTTGTGATTTATTTTTATAATAACTACTAAACGTATTCAAAAATTCCTTGTGCTTATTATCGAGAAATTAAATTAATCATTGGAAAGAAAAAAAAGAATGTGTTTTGCTTTTTAATTTAATAAAATAAATCCTTATAATCGGGACTGATGATCCGTAATCGGAAATTCAAATATCGTCCAATCAGAAAGTAACATTGTATAATGTCCGAATCTCTATTATTGGCGAAGCGGGAGTGGATCTGAGCTCTTTTATGTTTACAACCAGGTAAATATGGCTTTTGAAAGCAATTTTTCCTGCCTAAAAATGAATTTTTATGTATTTAAGTTGATTTGCAGTGGTTGATCATGTTTCGTGAGCATTTATAAGCTTTTATGGAATAATAATTCCGTGACTGGTTGTCAATTTTGGTGTTCGTTCTCTTGACTTGGAGATTACAAGTGGTCGTCCATTTTGCTTTTCTTGCCTCCTTCCAGGGAAGATTGACTCTAAACAACCAGAGACTACTCTTCATATCCAACGTGCTTTCTTCTTTATTTTGTCATTTATATATCATACTACCACACTTCATTGACCCTATTACAAGGACAAAATTTAGTTACAAGCCCTTTCATCATAAGAAATCACGATGCTTTTGATAAAATTTTGGTCCTTTTATGAGAGACGATCGTTCATTTTTTTTTATTGTTTCCTCACAGTTGAAAGAATTATTAATTGTTATTTAGCTTCTTGCAGGTGAAAAAATTCACTCTTGTTTAAAATTAAAAAATCAAAACTTAAAAAAGCAAAATATAATTTGATTTATTTATGACATACTTATTCTATTTATCTTTTAACATTTAAAAACAAAGTTATTTATTTCTTTAAGTCATCTGGTATTATTTTTGAAAGCTTTTCTTTATCAACACATTTTATTTTTGTTTAAGAAATCAAGTCGTCTGTTTTTTGTGGCGAGGAACGTTACAAAATTTTCGTATTCAATTTATTTATTAATAATAAGACTAAGAGGAATAGTCATTTTTGACAGCACATGGCTAAAAAAAATCATATTGTTGTCTATCCAGGCGCTTCTATTTATTTTATTTTTATGACCGGACTGTTTTCTGGGTAAAACACTCGCCCTTACTGGTTACGATCCCATATCTGATAATGCGATGTTATATAATAAATGAACCTTGATTGAGACATGTTATTTCTCTTTTTGATTCTTTAAAGAAAGTAGTCGTTGACAGTGTATTCTGAGTGGTAATTAATATCCTGTGTACTACACATAGCATTATGCACTTAATTCTCTTTCTTGTGCTATTGACATTAGTACAGTGAAGAGTGAACAGAACTGCCTTTTTGTCACTTTTTAGGAATAAATTGGAGATTCTATCTTTAATTCTACATCCATTTTTTTTATGGGAGAAAAAATTGCAGCTGATTTTAAATAAATTGTATATAAAAGAAAAAAACTGATTCAGAATAAACTTGCTTTTCTATTTTTTTTTTTTTTGTAACCTGGTTTGCTTGCATGTATTGTAAATTTGCATAACAACTTTCAGAGATCAATTTTACTTTTAAAACCTACGATATTTGTCATACTTTGAGACATAAAAAATAATAATATACCCGCAATAAAAACAATGTTACTCTTTTAAAGTAACAATTCCCTATTTTTAGGCCATCATCGTAATTATTGGTAAATTATTTTGACACCCAAATCTTAGTTTACTTTTTTAATAATAGATTTTTGCAACTTTTCTGATCTAGGTTTTAAATTTATCCTACTGAGTTGAGTATTAAAGCTGATTTCCACTAGCCACAAAAAATAAGCCCTATTATTACTTCAGATATTCAATAGATTACATATCAAAATGAAAAGAACGTAACTTTAATTGATAGTTAATTTTACTTAGTTGACTAAAAAACATTCTGGTCATCTTCAAAAGAGAAAAAAAAAGATGCTTAGTAACTCAATAATAATTAGTTAACATAATTTTATACCGTAAATGTTTTGCTAGCATATGAGAAGAAAGTTAAAGCATTTGTAAGAAATTGTTACTTGACTGGATAAAATATACCTCTTAGTGGATACATTTCCCTTTTGCAGTAAATCCTGATATTCTTTTGTATAAGAATTCGGGCACCAGCTGTGCCAATAACTCAAAAACATACAAAAGAATATTGGCACAGTTCTTTTTTATTGTAAGTTTTCAATAATGACAAAATATAGGCTTATCAATGTAATGCTTACATATGACACTGGAATTTGCAAATATAAGAAAGCTGAAGATCTAAAGTCAAGTTGGTTATAACTTTGTACTAGTTAAACCATATCAATACCAAATTTTCTAAATACATGTATTTGTTTTTTGATCATTACACCCTAAGAAAGGTGATAAAGCCACTAAGACAAGTGGTTACTGAGAGTGAAAGAAACTGAGAAAACTCTGAGGAGAGAGGACAATAAAAGAACAAGATTCGAGGTGACGATTGACATTGAAAGGAATCCTATCTGAGTGTATATGCCTTGTGAATGTCATACTTGGATGAAAGGTTATTGTAATGTAATGTTTTTAGCCATCATTTTCTTTCATTTGGTATTATGCTCTACTAAGTTAAGTTTAATAAAGATCCATATAAAATCTTTAACTCTGGTTAAATAGTTAATGTCTTAATTGCTAATATCAAATAATTTTTGTATAATAAATGACTTTCATCTCTAGAAGGCTTTATAAATATAAAATCTACAAGAAAAAAATGATACTTGATGAATATGTAATAATTGATGATCTCCTCACACTTTAAATGGAACCTCAAACATGACCAACATTTCTTGTTCCTTGTCACTTAAATGTTTATGCAAAACAAAGTTAATGCAACCATTGCCCTCCTGAGTACTGAGAAGATTAAGATGTATATCTATTTATTATATGTAGTTCAGTTTTTCAGTCTGTGAAGGGAAGATACAGAGAAAGAAAGCAATGTTTTTGTCTGTGGATATCTCTGATATAAAGATTGAGGACTATTTGAAGTGGAAACCTCTCCCTGTTGGATAAATGAAACACTTTAGAAAATGCTGAAGAATGCATCTACCAAAAATCATGATAAACTCAACTAAAATGAGGATATTGGTCCAAATAACTTATGGAATAAAGCTAATGCATCTGTTATTTATCAACATATTAAGAGATTCATTTTTATGCCAAGCCATATTTTTTGTGTATAGAGATATACATGGAATAACAATGTAATATTTTGGATATAATTCTCAGATAAAAATTTAATGTTATTTTGTGTAATGAGTTTCCTTGCTAGTTGTTAATGATACCATGTTTTTATTTGTTGCAGTTTTGCCAGTCCTATGTTTGTCAAATTCTTGCCATGCCTTCTACAAGAAGTACCAGCTCTTCAGATGGTGAAAGAAAACCAAATACAAGGTCAAAAGGAGGAGGAGGAGGAGGAGGAGGAAGTAAGGCCACTTCATTGAACTGTACAAAGCCAATGTCTCAAGGCCGGGGGTTAACAAAAACATTGTCCACACATTCTGTTAATAGATCTAAGAACAACCAGATGGAACAAGACCTCAAGCATGGTGGTCGCAAAGGAAGCAAAGTTTCAGAATCTAAAGTCACAATCTCTAAAACAGATCAGGGACCAGTTGAGAAAAATAAAAGAGGGAGGAAACCTCTTAGTGTTACAGGCAAAACTAAAGAAACTGTTATTTCCATGGAAGAGGTGGTTACAATGTCTGATTCTCATCAAAAGGTAAAAGCTGCAAATGGATCTGCATGTGATGAGAAAACAAGCTTGGAAGCCAGTAGCATCCTTTCAACTGGTAGTGAAAATAATCATTCTCAGTCAGCTAACTTGCTCAATGGAAATCAGGTGGAAATTTCTACAATAGAAACTTCTGATGATATCGAACATAATGGAAATGTTACATCAAATGTGAGCAGTAACAGTAATGCAAATTCTGTTTGCAACTCTATGTTGCAAAAGGAAGAACCAGCATTATTTGAGATAATTTCACCTGAAGAAATGTACTTGAGTGTAACAATTCCAACTGCAAATGAATTGGAACTGCTTGAAGAATCCTGTGATGTCAAAACAAATGATGTTTCTCATGCCCCAGATGATAGCAACAGTATTTTAGGTGCTGATAATCCTCAAAATGAGATTTCCAATTATTCTGATAGAATATGCAAAAAGAATGTTAGTGACAATCCTTTGACTGCCCAGGGTGCTTTGCAGACAAAACAAATAGATCCAAATGCTGTTCATTCAGATAACAGTAGCCAAAAAAAAAAATTAGAATGTGATAAAACTACATGGTCTTCCAAGTCCCAGAAATCCAATTTGGCTGTGGCATCAGAGGCAACCATTCGTAAGAGTGGGCGAAGAAGTGTTCCAAATCGGAAATATTTGGATATGGAAATGGATTTTCGCCGGAAGAAGTCCAAAACTGCCTCCTCTCCAGGTAATATTTGTTATTTATATGAAATTTTAAAAATACACATGTAGATGTTAATTTTTTTTTTTAAGTATTGGTTGATCAGAAGACTATTTCAGTTATTATCATCAATAATAAGCATCTAAATTTTAACAGTTATTTTAATTATTGCACTTTAAAACTTTAAAGAAGTTTTAAGAAAATTTTGAAGCTATTCTCTGTAGATGCTTATTGAACATTGTTTAGAAAATAAAATAAATAATCCATGTAGGAATATGCTGTCAACAAAGGTAATGTTGATTACTAAAAATGTTTTAATTCGTCTTTTATCATATTATGGTAAAGAGAGTATTTTGATTAATAATGAGTCTTTATTGAAATTACCATTGGATTTTTTTTCATATAAATATTTTTGTTCTTTTGCATATCTGCTTATGACTATGAAAATGATATTTAACTGACAAATACCAACTTTCTATGTACAAGTATATCTCATTTTATTGCATATTATGTTTTTTACAAACTAGAGGCTTGTGGCAACCTTGTTGAGTAAATTGATTGGCACCTTTTTGCCAAACTGCATTTGTTTTTATTGTATCTGTGTCATCTTTTGGTAATTTTTGCAATATTTCAAATGTTATTATTGAAAAGCTAATGCTGTTACACACCTAATAGACTACAGTAAAGTGTAAACATAATTTATATGAACTGGGGAAACCCCAAAATTTGTGTGATTTGCTTTATTGTGGTAGGCTGGAACCTGTTTCTGAAGAATACCTGTTAAAAGAAGAAATGACCTTTAATTTCAATTTTAATTAATATTATCACCCTCATCCTTTTATTGTAACCTGCCATGTGACTAGCTATTTAAACTAAATGCTGGAAATTGTTATTGGTTCTCTGCAGTTAAAACTTTTCATGTTTTAATTTCTTATCTTAAGTTTGTGGCAAAGTATTTCAATTACACTGATTTCTGAAAATATGTAAAAACTTCTACAATCAGAAAATTTTCATTATTGCACTGTCAAAGATTAAAAACCATCAGTAGGCATATTTTTTATTGTTCATATTTATCTTCAATTCAATGAAAATTACAGCAAATTGATTACTGCAAGTTTTTCTGTTAGAATAAAGAAAAACTTCAGTGAAAATAGTTTTAATCTTAAAAGCTCATATAAACTGGTTTTACTTTTTAAGTTATAGCATGAAAGACAATAATAATTCTGAAAAGCATCTTTGGTGGCTGTAAATATTTGATTAACAAACAAGAAGTAGAATTGATTTTGTGAATAATTATTTATTCACATTATTCTCAGAACCTTAGAACTAAGTGCCTCTTGTGGTTTATTTATAGGAGTGCACACATCTAAATTGTAAGTAAATAGAATACTATGGAATGAGGACTAGAAGTGTACATAGAATAAAGTGTTTAGAAATAATGTGCAAAGTGAGCAGAAATGGACAATGATGGCTTTTCTTATTTATTAATCAACTTGATGCTTTGTAAGAAAGAAGGTTTATTCTGTTTTGAAATAGACAAATCAACACAATTTATATAATTAGGTAATAATGAACAAGAACCTTACCACAAAATCTTGAAGATTTTCTTTTGTCTGATAAGAAATTAATATTTAGCCTGATCTATATTCCAAGACAACATGGCCTTCATAAATATTTGCTTTTCAAACAGAACATCAAATTCGGCTGTCACTTTTTTTGCAAAGCTTTGTATCTCTGGTCTTTTTAGAGATAATGGAGTAATGAATATATTCTTAATGATTTCCATCCAAATATTATTCAAAGAACTTCATTTCCTTATAATTTTAATTATCTATAATTTAAGAATTATTAAGTGATTTCACAAAGCAATTACATTTTCGAAGATTGTAAATATAAAACAAAAATAGATTGGTGGCTTTTGTAGGTGAGCACATTCAGCATTAAATATTTGCTTAAATTTTTGAATTCTAATCTTGAATCATGAAATGAAAGATTGCACCACTATTTGAATATAATTATAAGTTATGAGTAGCACCCAGAAGTATATTATTTTCTTCTTAAATGAAAACTAGGAGTTGTAGTAATAAAGAATGTTGGAAATGCGATATACTTTTAAAAATCTGGATCTAATTTGATAGGAATAACAACTTTTTACTCATTGATATGGGTGAGTGATTTGTGTAAGAGCTTGCTACACATACTGTCTTCTGTCTAGATCAGCTTGCCATGCCAGTGACTAGACATTTTGTCATTACATCTGATGATGAAATAGTGCCATGAGAAATGGATTTATGCCTTTTTGAAGAGTAGTTGTACAAAATTAACAAATGAATCCTGATTGAATTAAAATGTAGTTTACTGATACTTTTTTTTTCATGTTGATAACCATGTCACATCTCCAAAAGTTGCTCAAATAATCACAGCTTCTTTATTCTTTTCAAGTTTATTAATTCTATTTCAGAGAAAAAATCTGGGAAGTTTCCTGAACAAGACAAGACACCAAAATCTCAAAATTCTAGGTATGTTTACAAAAGGTCTTTTACAATTCTTAAACATGTTTCCTTATTTGACAAACTTGATCATATATTCAGTTTATTAAAACATTGAAAAGTGGAGCAGGGACGGGGGAAATAAGTCAGATATATTTGATTTTTCTAGTGATATTCAAATATATAGTACAGGCACTCCCCTACTAAAAAAAAACAAACTAAAAAACAACTATAGTTGCTTTATATCACCCTGTGAACACAATACAGTTTTTGTTGTCTCTCTGTGACATCTTGTATAGCATATTTTTGTGCAAGTGGACCTAAAAGTAGTTGCAGTATAATGGAATTATTAAATATATATTTGAGAATTTCAATAAAATTGTATAAATTGACAAAAAATAGCAACCATTTGTTATTGGAAAAGTTATTGTAAAAATTGACAATGTAAAGATTAAATATTTGTTAAAAATAAAAACTACATTTCTCATTGGCTAAAAACAATAACTGCTGTTTTGAATGAGCATTTCAAATAATGGTTAATGGAAAAATGGAATCTATCCCTCTGATTGGCCAAAACACCAATAGTAAAAAAAATAAACAAATTTCATGATTAGAATTCATACATAGGAATGATTAAAGGGGTCACATTTGAGTAGGCACAAATAGTTACAATTCTTGCAATCATGTAAAAGTTATGCCAGAATGCTAGTCAAGAAATGATTGCTCTTGGCTGGGCTAATGAGAGAGAAACTCTGATGTCATGGAGGCTCGAAACTTTGTGTCTCCAGAATAAACATTACTGAGGATGCATTCTGGGGTGCATTATATGTGTATAAAATGAAGTAGGTAAAAATGTATGTCTCTTTGTGTTTAGAAATAAAAAAATCATAACAAATAATATAAAGAAAATAAGTGAATGTTTGAATAATTGTTGACCTGGTATTAAAAATATTTTAAAAAAATGAATGTTTTTCCATATATCCTTCTATTCCTCTTTGCTATGTGGCATTATGATGAAAAATAGTGAAATAAAAAAGAAGAGAATAAATACAAAGATTAGTTTTAGAAAATTGATTGTTGATTCTATTTGTGCTGTGTGATAAAAAACAACAAAAAAAGTACAGTTGCATACAAATCCATGCTATTCTGTTATGATTAAGGAATTTGAAATGATTATATTTCTGTTGATGAATTCATCTGAGATCTTTCAATTTATGGTTTCATTTTTGTTTTGTTTTTATATTTTAAATGCTGTCCATATTCAGTAACTAGATTCCTCATTCACAATATATCTAACTTATGGACAGTGAGGGAACATTTCAATTAAAGTATAATTAAAAAAGAAAATATTTGACATTGGTTAAAGTGACATTAAGCAAATATCAACCAATAAGCTTTTATTGATTTGAATCCATTCAGCTTGGAAAATTTTACAGACACACACACACACACACACAGATATATATATATATATATATATTCAATTAATCAAGGAAAGTTCAAGTGACTTATAATGTTTGAGATATTTATGAAATAAGCAATGCTTGTATACATTAGTTTTAAATGAATATATTTTCTGTATACTATAAAACAAAAATAATAAAGGAATATTTTTTTTTTCAGTGCCTCTACTTTGAAAAGAAAACTAGACTTAAATACAGAAAAAAATCTATCAAGTAAAAAACGGGCTGTAAAAGAACCTTCAGAAAATGAGGGGTCTCCCAAAAAGTCAGTTCAGTCACTTCTCAAAACTGTGTCTCCCAAAAAGAAAGCTGCTTCAACTGTTGTCAGTACAGCTACTAGTCCCTTGAGAACCCAATTACCTTCTCCAGGTTCACCTCAGAAGATTGCTTCACCCATTTTGAAAATAGCCAGTCCACAAAAGTCCTCTACTCTTGTCCCTCGAAAAGTTGTTCAATCTTCAGCTAACTTCATTGGGAATAACTCTGACAGCAATCAACAAACGCAACCAGTTATTTTAGTAGGGACAGAACAACTTAATGCTTCACCCACCATGCTCACTACCAACAAAAATTCAGGCTCTGTTCCTAACAACTCTGCTTTAAGTGAGGAACGCTCAGAAAATCTCACCCTCTTTCAGACAGCAAATGTACTTGGTGATGTTGCACAGGAATTGAGCTTACCTGTTACTAGTTCTAAAGCCTCAGAGAATTTCAGTAAGACCTTGCCCACACTTTCTGACTCTCTCAGTTCTTCCCTAAATTCTGTTTCAAATAGCAAACCTGAACACATTGTTGTGGTTCATCCTGCTGAGCCAGTTGATCAGCAAGTAAATCAAAGGACTGATTTTCTTGATGCTGATAAGAATCTTAGCAAAGAATTACCAGAGACTTCTGTGACTGAGCCTTCAGTGCCACAGATTGTGGTGACACTACCAAATACAATCTCTTCAGTGGCACTGCAGAATTCTTCTTTGTCAAATACACCAGCAGTAACAACAGAGGGCTCCATGACATATTCTGTAGATATGACCATGTCATCTACAAAACCTATTATCTCTTTTACAGAAGGAATCTCACAGGCATCACCATATACTGTTTCTCTTTTAAACAACAACAACAATAATAGTAGCAGCAATAAGGATAAGGAGGCAGTTGAATCTTTAATAAATGCAAGCCACATTACTGAGAAAGTCAGTGAGAGTGGCAGTGTTATGATGTGCCTCTCTTCTGGAACTGAGGATCTGGTTCCCAGCACCATGTCCCTTGATGTAAATACTCATCATGATGCTCACCGGCTTGAAACTGAAGCTGCTATCCAGGAAATCACAGCCAGTTTCCCCCAGACCTTCACTAGCAATGATATAGTGATTCATGAAAAGGACCAAATCACCAAAACCTCAATATCACTTGCAGAAGCTGCAAAGATGGTGGCTGAATCTCAGACAATTGTTGATTTACCAGATGTGAACAGTCTTTCAGAATGTGGACTGGAAGGACTCCGTAGCCAGCCTACGCCTGTCACCCGTGAGGTAGCTACTACAACTCTTCCTACTGCAGTAGCATCAACCCAGACACCCCTGCAATTACCTAGGAAGAGTTCAAAAGCTTCTTCACTAATGAAGAACCTTACTGTCAACATGCAGCAATCAGGAAAGCTGCCTTTAGACATGGATGATGACGATGATGATGATGATGATGATGATCTTGAAGATGGTGATTGTTTTGACAATGATGAGGAGGAGGAGTTGAAGGAAGTAGAACCTCGTAAAAGTACTCAAGAATTTATTGTTGTTCATCTGCCTGAGGGTGCACAGATAAAACGAGAAAGAGTGGACTCGAGGCACCAAATTGAGGTAGAGATCATTTTCATTTAATCCATTCTTTTTTATATTTGTTTTTGTATCATCTATTAATTTTTTCTTTTTAATTTATTGCATTTGCTTCATTTTTACTGTTGTTGAAGCCTCTACTTTGTCTAGTTACCATGGATTAAAAAAAGCTATTATTTTGGACAATAGAATATCTAAAATAATTGGGAGCCATTATTGAAATTATTCTGATTAGAAACTAACTTTTAGTTCCAAATTCTAAATTTCACTTTGAATATTTTTCATTTGATTTCAATTGATTCAACTGACAAATTCAAATATTATTTTTTTTTTTTACTGGCAGAAAGACAGTTGCAGAGATTTGATTCTGTGATTTTTCTCAAGTTCACTTGTATTGATGCAGTGGATTTTTGCTTTCTTGTGAATCTTGCCATGTAACTTTTACTTCAAAAGTAATTTTTAAACCCTATATTCCTCAGATTAATTTCATGAAAAAAGGCTCCTCTTTCTGTTTGAACTGGTTTGGATTGTAGACTTGCAAGAGATGAAATAATTTGATTCTCTTTTTTAGCCATTAGGTAGAGGGCGAGTGGATGAAAATGGATCCTATCGATGCACTGAGTGTAATTATATGACAGCAAAGAAGGCAAATTGGTACAAACATCGAAAAAAACATTTGGGTAGAGTATATTTTCCTTTGTTAATTTCTTAATTTTTAAGGTGTATCAAGTTTTTCAAATTTTATTGACTGATGTTAGACTTATTTCTTTTGTTGGAAAGTTTTTCAAATAATTTTCTATATTTTTTGTATAAATACAAAATATTTTTAATTCTAAATTCTATTTTGAAGTCTAGGATGTCATTTTACTTGTATAAATAAACTGCACAGAAAATTTTGGTTTGAATCTTTAGAGAATAAGTTAATGCATTCAAGGAATGCATTTGAAGTCATGATTTATAGATTAAAAGCTTCATTTGAAAATATTTTATGACTAGATTCTGGATAATTGCACATAAAACTGGTTTCTCATAAACAATTACTTTTAGGTTTGCGGCCACATTGTTGTTTGACATGTGACTACAAAGCAACGACAAGCAGTAACCTGAAACGGCACATGGCAATCCATGCAGATCTACGTGAATACAAATGCAACCTGTGTTCTAATTATTTTCGACAGAAGATTCACTTAGAAAGACACATGAAATATAAACATGAGGTGAGAAAATTTTTTTTTTTTTTTTTTTAAACATTAAAACCTAAATTTAGATTATGTAAATTTATAGTTTTTTTTTCTGTAATTGAATTATGATAACTAATTTCAATTTACTTCAGCTGATCTAGAGTGGAAATTTATGCTAGAGCATGAAACTTGATTAACTCAAACCTAAGTCTACATTTATGATTTTCAGAAGAAAATTCAAGAGCAGTTTCAATTCCTTTTGTAAAAGTGATTATTGTCAGACATAAAATCTTATATGTTGCTTGCAAGGATACATGAACATTGATAGAATAAATGTTCTTTTAGTGCTGCAACCTGAAGCCATTTAAAAGAAATACTTACAGATATAAATGTTTGTAGCATTTACTGTAATTTGTGGTTAAATAACTTACAGCCATTGCTTTTATTTATATAGAATTGTTTTGGTAATTTGATAGTAACATTTTTTTTTCTGCACAAATCTACTGATGAGATTTGAGGTATCGATTTGTAGATTATTGAACTTTGGTACATTATTTCTTTGAAACAGATGATAGCATAATTGATTAGATATATTTATTACATGTCACATTTCTAGGCAAGATTCTTGAAAAATGAAAACCAAGTTAAATATTTCTTAGAGCTTTATAATGTTTTCTACAAATAAAACCACTCCTTCCTGGTCTTTTGAACAAAGTAGTGATTTATTCCTTGTTCCCTGTTTAAGATTGGGTTTACAGTTCCTTCTAAAATATTTTCATTCTCTTTCACTTACAGTAGCCCCTTGCATCTTAGTGGCATTATTGCCTTGCTTGGGGCAAACTTATATATATAAACAGTTGAAATGTTTTGAATTTACAGAAATACATATACACATTCGAAGACAATTTAACCTCCTAAAGATGGTCTTGGATGAGATTGCAAGTACTTAGGAAAATAAAAATTATTTGAAAGAAAATTTTGGTATTTTTCTTAATCAATTTTCTAAGTCTACCAAGAAATTAATCCGTGAACTTGAAAGGATCACAACCAAAATAAATTGACATGATATGTCTAAATTATTTAACCAAACCTGTTTGAATGAAAATATGCTGCCTAAATATACACCTATATATATATATGTATGTTCATGAGATTGCTAAAAAAATAGCATAGCATGAATAAAAAAGGCCTTAAACTTGATGAAAATATTTTTTTACTGTCTAAATGTTTGTCATTATCAAGAGGAAAGCTCAAAATATTTTTTGATTTTTTTTTTTTTTTTTTTTTTTTTTTTTTTTTACATTTTTTAATCATTCCTAGCATGTCCAAAATCTTTTTTAAATCTTTTTTTTTTTTTTTTGAATCTGCATAAGTTATTTGTAGGAACAAATCAACTGTCCAAATGTGCTTTATGCTATGGCCAACTATATCACCACTTAAGATTTTGTAGATGTTATCTACTAAATCTTGTGACAAATTCGGAAATTCTGCCTTTATAGCAGAACTAGTGTGAAGTATCCTGTTCAGTCTTCTCTGTTGTTGAGACCTTTCCATTTTTTGTTATTGCCTTTATTTTTCTTTACTTTGAATTATTTTGGCCTCTACAACTTTTGTTACTTTTCTCTGCTTATTCTTTTAGGTGCTATATTGCATGGCAACATCCAAGTAGTGTTGAAGTCTACTGTCCTCCAGGCCATTTATGTAGCTCTATACATTATTTCTTTTGGCTTTGATAATGTTACTTATGCTGGAGACATAAGCATTTGGAGATACTTTTTTCTTTTCACAGTATTCTCCTATCACACTTTCAGCCTCCATGGTATGTTGCCTTACAGATGATAGCACTAATTCTGTAGAGGTCTTTAGTGTCTCAAAAGATTGCTTGTACTGCCATTCCAAAACTGCAACAGTACCTTTCAAACAGGCAGTCATCATGTTTTTTTTTTTAGTTCCACTATAACACTTTTCACTATTTGCATAGTGTTAATCAGGTTTTGTGATCTTTTTTAAGTCTGTGTAAAACATATTCATGACCCAGACAATAATAATCCCCATGATACCAAGCACTTGCAGTTCAATCTCTGTTGCTTCCTCCACTATGAGATTTTTCCACAAGTTTGTTGTTTTAGAACAGACTGAGCACAATTTTTTTTAGGTTTTTGAAAATGAAGAAATACACACCACCTAACTGAAAAATTACATACAACCGGTTCCCCAGAAATCTTGGTATTTCATACTCTTCTTGTTTGATGAAGTCCTTCATCTGCATCACATGACTGTATTTGTCACTGAATCTTAGTGAATTCAGTGCCATAATGATCTTCCATGCAATGCACTCACCAGAATGCTGGATTGGCTGCTCTTCACATGCTTGAAGCTCCTTCTTAACACAGCTGGAAATGGCTTCTAATGGGTGCACATTGCAATTTAATTCAATTAGGTGGGTGCCCTCCTCTTTCTCCAGTAAAAAAACAGTCAAGTGGTTGACTAGAGCCCAGTCTGTCAAGCAGCATTTTATTTTATTGATTGTTGTTCTCTGGGAGTTAGCAACACTTACCCCAGATGCTACTGATTGTATCTCAGCACGTTTTTTTATGCCAGTGCTGATATGGTTCCTGTAGTTTTCTGCAATCCTACCAGGAAGTCATTCAATTGACACGAGATGAGAATATGATGGTGTTGTAACCATCATACAGTTAACATGAATCCTATCTTGTGTTGTTGCATCAAAAATCGGACTGCAACTTTCTGATGCTAAAATCGAATCAACAGTTTTTAAATCTGAAAAAAAAAAAACAGTTCACCCACCATTCAGCCAACTGTGGTTGTCAATTTGATGTCAAATCTTGGTTCCTGTATAACAGAAATAAAATGTTCCAAAACTTCAAGAACATTCCTAGCAGCCACTCCACTTAACAAACAGGTATAGTAGTGCGTCTTCCTGGATGTCAAATGTAGAGACCTTTTTGTTTTTTTCAACGTTTTTCTTTTTTCTTCTTTAAAATTACTGTTAACTTATTTACTTTCTGTTTCAACCAGATTTATTTTTTTTCTCTCTAGAGACTGTCATTTTTAATTTTTAATTTTTTTTCAATAAGTGTAAATGTCTCCAGGGTTGCTGATGTCTCAGTCAGGGTTGCTGAATAGGCCACTTCCTCAGATTTCTTTTCAAACTTAAAAAATTTCTTCCATTATGTCTAGTTTTATATATTCGTTTAAGGTGCATAGCTTGGCCAATTCTAACCTTAGGAAAACCATTTTTGGCATTTTCCAAAGATGCCCAGCTTGCTGCGTCCCTCACTGACATTTCTTTGGAAATTTTTTTGAATACATGTCCACACAGAACTGTTTGTCCAAATGCAATAGAACCATATTTCTCTAAGCATATATATATATATATATATATATATATATATATATATATATATATACACACACACACCATGATGACTTAAAAAAAAAATAACATTTATAATAATTTCCATCATTTGTGAATAGTTTCTGAAAGTTTCATTAAAATCTGACAATTATTTCTATTTTTGCAAGATTTTCAAAATTAATGTCTGTTATTAAAAAAAAATGCACTAAAATTTGCTATGTTATTTAGTACTTCCACTGACCTGGAAAAATAAAGGTTTTTTTAATCAAAAGTTAGAATGTTCTAAAAAGATGGGAAAAATTTTTAAGTTATTAAAAAATACTTTTTTGTTTTTGTCAAGTTTAATGACGTTTTTATACTATGTTCATTTTCCAGCGATCTCATGGTAGTATCTCTCTCTCTCATTTATTTATATATATATATATATATATATTTTATATAGCAAATCTGAGATGTATTTAAAGGGAAGTAACCATAGATGCAATGGAAAGAAACTTGCAGATAGAATGTCAAGAGAAAAAACACTAAGTGAACCGGCAAGGAGATACATGTTAATTAAAATTACCTTATACTTACTAATATTTTCTTACATGGATAATCTCATCCTCAGTGAGTTTACTAATTTATTTAAGATTTTATAGATTTTAATATTACATTAACTTTCTTCATTATCTTGATTTATTTTGATCATATTACGTATTTTTTTATATATTGTTGATGAAATTCTGGTTACATTTATTTGACTTTCTTTCTTACTCCAAGCTTATTCTGTATATTGTATTATATGTTTATTTATAATCATTAGAAGTGAATTTATAATTGCATAACTTGTGTCCACTCTCAGTTTATCTACATATTGTACATGCTTTCTTCTCTCACACTTCTCATTTGTGGTACTTTCTTCTGAATCTTGATTTCCTCTCAACCTTGATGTTCATAAAATTAAATGCAACATCAGTTGCCATTTTCTCTCTTTGAATACTGATCTTTTAATGGCCTCTCTCTCTCGCCTTACCATTTTTGCACTTTCTTTCTCACCTAGTAACCCTTGCATCTTAGTAATTTTATTGACTTGCTTGCGGTGAAATAATAAAAAAAAAGACAAATATTGTTGTTGCTGTAAAGTGTATAAATATTGTTTGGGATATCAACTTTATTAACAAAGTAAAAAAATTTAAAAACTATAACTTTTACATTGTTTCATAATATATAGTAATACATCGAAAAAGCTTTATCTGGCTGGTGCTAAAATAAACATCCAAAATGTTGTTATTAATTCAGATAAATTCCAAAATCCAGTAATACCTTGTAGATAAAAATACAAAATTTGATATTAGATTGCAGAGAAATTATTCAAATTTTTATATTAAGTGATTTTTGTAGGGAGAGATTCCCATTTACAAAATAACATGTGGATTTCTTTGATCTTTTCTATTGTATTTGAGTTTGTCTTATTGTTTATATCCATTCATCATTGTTACTGCATGCAAAGTTTTGTTTACTTTTATTTCCTTCAATTTATTAATAAATGCTTTTTGAAATCTGTGAGAAAGTAGTTAAATTATTGAGATTTTTAATTTTTACATGATTCAATGAATTAAAAACACTTTTTACCTTAGTTTAGAATTAACTTTCAACTTTTTTGTTAATGAACTGGAATCTTACACTTTCATTTTCAAGATTTGTTATATTGAATTTATCATTATTTACTGGTTTTATATTTCACATTTCACAACTAAAGAATTTGATGCAAAAATAATTAAACTTACTGAATTTATTTCTGCAGGAGAAAAAAGTCCAGTGTCCGCTGTGTAATTATGTGTGTGCCAGTGAAAACCCTGATTTGAAAATTCATTTCAAACGTCGTCATGTTCCCTCTACATATAGTACAATGAATTCTTTTACATGTGATGAATGTGGATTGGTAACAGTTAGCAAGAAAGACCTAAAACAACATGCCAAGTTCCACCGCAGAGGTCCTGAGCTGAAGTTATTCTGTGAACAGTGCAGTTTTGTGACTGACTGTGAGAGCCGTTTGCAACGTCATGTGTTCACACACACCAAAGTGAAACCCTTCAAGTGTGGTTTGTGTGATTATCGAGGCTCACAGAAAGAACATGTATTAAGGCACATGAAATCTCGACACAGCATTGAGATTCAATGCAATCCACGTCGGCCAAGAGAAGATAAATGTAACTTGGATAACTTGGACCGCGACCGAACTGATTTTACAAGTCGGGACAAGATCTTTGCTTGCAACCACTGCACAATGAAGTTCTCCAAGCTGATCAACCTGTACAAGCATCTGCACACACAGCACAAGAATATCATGCCAATGGGAGAACAGAATGAATTCTACTGTGTGGTGTGTGATTTCAAAACAACAAGCAAAAAAAACTTGTTGGTGCATATGCGGAAACACAACATGCAAGAACAGAACCCACCCTCCCATGTGTATTCATGTGTGCTCTGCCGTTATGTCAATCCAAAACGTCGTAATCTTTTTCAGCATATGATGAAGAAGCATGGTATTGAGATTGTGATGAATATGAAAGACGATTGGTCTACAAATGGTTATGCAACTAATAATGCCCCTCTGTTGGTAGACAAGGGTGATGGTACAGAACCAAATATAATGACAGTTGGCAACGTTGTGACAGCAACTAGTGAGGAGTCAAACCAGTTAATGGTGGTCACTGAAGATGCTGATAACAACACCATGCAGACTGTGATCACGATTGAAGACCTGGCTTCATCAATGACCAACCCAGTGAAAATGTCTGAGGTCAGTGTTAGCACTGGGTCAACGGGAGAAATGTCAGATAAGGTGCTGACTGATGATTTGAATCAACAACAACATGCTGCAGATGCTGTTGAGGGTCTACAGGCTCTGGCAGAACATCCACGTATAGTGGACCATGACAACCATTTCAAGTGTAGTGATGATGTTGAAACTCAGATAGAGGATGTCAGGGTTGATGCTGAGAGGGAGGTAGGGATAATTAATAATGAGGTTAATGTTGTTGCTGAGAAAAACATGTCTGAGGTGGATGAAGCTACTGTTTCGGTGATTGACCAGCTGACAACAGAAACCCCTGTTAAGGAGAGCTTTGAACTGACTACTGACCAAGTTGTACATCTATCCACTGGTGATTATGTGGAAATCAATGGGGAAGTGTACAAAGTGGAAATTTCCACAGAGCCTGCAGAGGAAACTGTGACCACAAGTGGTACTTCAGATTCTGCAGGAACAGAACTTTTTGAAACTATTGTGCAGAATGATACAAATGCAGCTGCTGCTTCATTTCTCACTTGATTAGTAAAACTTGGTCAAATATTTGTAAAGATAACAAAATTAAAGAAGAAATATCAAAATTCAAAACAAATAATGGCTTGTCAATATTGGCAGAGATGCAGAAGGATTGTTAAAAAAAGAAAATTAATTTTTGTTAGCTATAATGCTGGAAACAATAATTTGCCTCTCTTTCTGTGGAATAACTAGACTTTTCCAAAGTACCAAATTTTAAATCAATGTGTGAGCTCATACCTTCATCTGAAATGGATGTAATAAGTACCAGTGATATACTGAAGAAAATGGTCAAATCTATCTACTCTACCCTTGGAGATAAGAGGAATCTTCTATTCTCTATTGGTAATCAGCTTATGAGTAACTAATTCATAATGAGGACTGTCCGTTATAGGTCAGTACTTATTGAAAGTTTGGAGAAATACAAAAACAATGGCAATTGATTGTTGCTGTTGTATTTTTTTAATCTCTTTCCTTTCTTTCTTTTTTTTTCTATATCCCATAAAAACCTTTCTCTTGAAAAATTTTTATTTATTTATTTTTTTTCCCTTTTTATCAAGCATCATATCCTGAATATACATTATGCAATATTTTTTTTAGATTAGAAATAAATGCAGGTTGGCCATCATTTGGGTGGATTGTTGCCAAACCACAATTCATTACATGAGATAAACTAATCAAAGAGCTGGCCACTTTGTCTCACCAGGCAAATACTCTGTAAATTAGTATAAATTAGACAATGTGGAAAAAAGTAAACATCAAATAAAAAGTAAAATTTTAATCAAGTACAGGTAAAATAAAAGATTATTATAACTTGTTTAAGAAAGTTGATTGTTGTGGCTTCCAAAGTGGAGAGATTTGAACTTTCAACTTACATGGCTGGAAGTGAATGTTGTCATCTTCTTTGTTAATAATGTAACTCGCCACTCTTTAAACATTGATACAACAGGTAAGGCTGAAACAGTTATGGCAGATCAGTGAAATAGAAACCTGGAAAATTTCTAGATGAGTTGGAATTGTAGCTGGTTTAGTGATTAGCTTGTATAAAAGCATGAATTTTTTAAGAACAGAAACTGCTATAAAATCTCAGGAAGTAAAGATTAAATATACTGATACAGCTTTAATATTCTGGTAGCGTTTGATGATTTCTTGTCTCTTTTATTCTGGTCAGAATTCCAAGAACATCCTGACATTTACAATCTTTGACTACCAGATGTATTGACATGGTAGATATTGATATAACTTTGATTCCATGATTTTGCAAGATTGTTTATTTAAATTTGACACTTTAAATAGCTATGTGAGAGAATGCAAATATCAAGCACAAGCACTGATCCATATTGATTAAGAGAACTTTGAGCTATAGAAAAAATAGCAAATGCAAGATATGTTAATAAATTAATGTTTATTTTATATGGTCCAGAAAATTGTTCATTTAGTAATTTTTTGAAGCAACCAGTAAGAAGCAAAAAGATATATTAGTTAAGTAGACCATATTTAGCCTACTTTTGAGGTTTTTTGATTCCTCATTTGAACATTTAAATAGTTTTGATATATTTGGGTGATCTCAGTGTTGCTAAAGTTTTTTTAAAATTTATATCCAGAATATGAGGTAAGATAAAAAAATTAATTATATATGTATAAAAAAAACATTCCTTTTTTTCCCTTGCACATGAAAAATATCTGTGGTGTTTTGCTGAACTTGAAAGGCTTAAGAGAAAAAAAGAAATTAATATTTTTTCCATGCTGCCTATTTGTTCCATTGTTTTTCAAAAAAAAAAAAACAAAACTTTCAGTTTGAAACACTTAAAAAAAAGAAAAAAAGACACTAGTATTTGAACAAACTGCCTCTTAATATGAAGTTTTTTTTTTTTTTATTTCAAATTCCTGTTCATAAACTCTTACACTTTTGTCAGCAAACAAAGAACAGTCTTGTTTGAGGGGAAAAGCTGCTGTCCAGTGCACTTGACTAAGCAGGTGTTGTGTGTATGTGTTTGTATGATGGGGGGATTGAGAGAGATGAATTGTGCATATTTGAAGAAAAAAATACAATTTGTACTTTAACATAAATTGTTGAACATCATTTGTATAGGTTTATTTTTTTTCTCCAAATTGGTTGTCAATTTTTCTGAAGTAAATTCCAAAATTTGGTCATTGTATTTTCTGTTCATTCTCTTTAGTATTGATATTTCTTATCCAGATGAACTGTTTGTTTGAATTCTCAAAAAAAATATTTTCTATTTTGTATACATTCTGACTATAAATCATTTAGTTTTATATTTTAAAAATAGTACTAACAGTTTATGAAAAACAAGTCCAAAATACTTATAGAAAATTATATAGTCTGTCATAAGATTATTGATTTTGCTTGTACCAAGCTTAAGTTTCAAACTATGAAAGGTAATTGGTAAGATACTATATGCATACATTCATTATTATATTATAGCTATTTTTATAAACAGTAAACAATACACAACAAACAATTACACCAGTACATGCACATGATCAGTGTTTGATGATTATTGTGTTCTGATAATATTTAACATTTTTAAGTTTTTTAAATATGAAATACTGTAGCATAGAGGATAGATTCTCTCTTCTAACAGTTATCCTAAATCTTGTAATCAAATTTGTGTCCCAAATAATAATTTTGATATCAGCTTTTAGTGACTATTCTATGTAGAGATAATGTCTGATATCTCACCTGTGCATCAAATGAAATAACAGTAAAAATTGGTCAGTTTTAGATTTATGAATAAAAATAAGTTGAATCCAGAAACATAATAATAACAGACAACATATTTATACAAGTTTTAAACATGCTTTTAACTCTTATTGTGGTCAGTATAATTTTTGATAATTTTTTTTCTTTACATTATCAAACAGGACTTATAACTTTAATTTTTTAGCATTGATTATATGGTCACCATTGAAACTAAACAAGGAAGATGTCTTCAGATGAAGTTTTATGTCTACTTCAAGATAGGGTATTTGAATTTTGATGGATTAACTGAATCTCATTGGAAAACTTCTGTTCAACTTGTAAATATTGTATATCTTTCCCTCTTATTTTTTTTATAGAAACATACAAGAGAATATTGTTAGGTGTTGTATAAAACAAGCTTCAATCTTTTGGGCAACAATATTGAAACTGAGTATTAAATTTTCAGTAAACATTTTTTATATCAGAATCTTCATCTTTTCTATTGCTTTATACTGAATGCATTCTTTACATCTTTAAATTATATGAACTTGGAGTAAAGAAGACCTGATTTTTAACTGGTATCCTATGTGAAAGGAATTTGCTATGTCATCTAGTAACAAATTGTGTGAATTTATTCAAAATCTACTTCTGTTATTAATTTATGCAATTAAACTTAACTTCAAGACAGAATGTTTTGGCTGTAGAATAAAGCAATTTGTTCAAAAAATCCTTTGTAAAAAGCGTTAATTTCATAAAAGCTGAAAGTATGCAAAATTTTAATTGAATTATATACATTATAAGCATCAGATTTGCTGAGATTTCTAAAGCCTTAAATGAAAATGAAAGCACTGTTTAAAAGTGAGTATTTAAAATTAACCTAATGTATACACATCCATAAATTTTCCATTAGAATAAGTTTAACTACAAAACTGGTCAAAAATTGCTATGCACACAAAATTTAAAATATTTTTAAGCATTCTTGTACATTTTTCTTTTAACAAATATCCCCAAACACCACTTCTCAGACAATAAGCTAAAAAGTCCAGTTGTATTTCTGTAACCTATATGGTATATGTATAACCATAATTCAAAAAAGGAAATGTAGAAGATACTAATTTTTGCCTTTTCAGGAAGCATTGACCATATTTAATAATTCTTATTGAGAGAAGAAATATTTTATATGATTTAAAATAAGGTAAGACATTTATTTGTGATAAATTCTAAAAAATATTAAACAATGTATTTGATAAGATAATTTCGACTCCCCCTCTCACACCTGATCTAATTTACAGAATTGTGGAGTTAGACTATGTACATGTACTGTTCATCTATGACATCTGGATAAACATTAACCTACCAGCTACTCTAAACTTTGCATAGGACACTTGAGAGAAAATTTTTAATTATTTTTTTTAAGCAGGTTTTTTACATGCCATCAAATGTTTCATCAATTTTCTATCATAAACTATTTTCCTAATACTATTTTTAAAAGAAAGCAGTCAACCTCCTGGATTTTCAGAAAAGAAGTGAAATCGGTGCTTCAAAAGAACAGATAATTTAAATGTAAAAATATTGGATTGTGTTATTCATTCATATTTTATTTTCATTTTATTTAATCATTGTTGTTTGTCTTTGGATTTATTAAGAAAATATTTTACTCCAAGTTTTTTTTTTTTTTTTTATTTCATTTGTGAAAGTTGATACCAGTGGTAATTACAATATATATGTAACGGACAAATCAGAAGAATGTATTTTTAAGGTGGAAGTTTTATCACTTTTAATATAGAATATTTCATAGCTATTTCAAGAACCAGAAATTTATAACACAGGTAACTTCAGATATATAAAGACTACATTATTGTCTCAGATCATTACTGAAGATTAAGGTTTGAAAATTTTAACATTAACTTATATTAAATGAAATTTTTATATACATATTCAGTCCAATATATTTATTTTTAAGAGTTGTTTCATCTGATTTTATCTCCTATCAACTTTATGCATTGTTTTCTTTTTAGATTGAATATATTTTTAGTTGTGATTTACTGACTAAATTCAGCTGATAAGGCACTTTTCTATCAATCACATATGATTGAACAATATTTGAAGTAATGGCATAATTAGATCACAACTTTCATAAGTGTGATTCATTTGTACATCTCATAATACTTTAGTGAAAGTTTTCTTAACTCATTGTATCCTATGAGCATCTAAAAATACCAATGAATCAAATAGTTTTTTAATTTTCAGAGGACTTTCTTGATTTTCTGGATATGCAATGAAGAGATAAACTAAAATTATCCAA